TATTCCATATACTGTATGTGAAATTGAATTTCTCATTCCATTATGTGATCCTATTCCTCGCATATTCTCTTAAGGTCTGTTGCGGATGCATCAGAGAAAGATGTGGCGACCCTTGGGTTCCAGGTTAGTACAGGATGGCTGCGCTGGATTCAATAAAAGTTGGCCGCAATGTATGACATTTGTCCATCGCTTACTGATTCTCTTGTCAATGACACCTTGTATGTTCTTCCCAGAGTCTCCGGGTTGTTATGAGTGATGGACTTCCTACTCTTCCGGAAGACTGTCTCCATGTGTAAGTTTCTGTCTCAGTTTTAATTACTACGTTCCTTATTTTACCTGTTGATACGGGATGGTAGATAATGATGTTAACGTTCCAGGTGCATAGACGTTACTGGAGCTTACAGTGCACAGAAGACTGATTTGAATATAAGTTTAACAGCCATTGGCCTGTTGTGGACTTTGACTGATTTCGTAGCAAAGGGGCTCCACCATGAGTCTCTAGTGGAGAAAGAAGCAGGTAAATAACTGTCAAATTCTAATCTGCAATTATAACCTCAAGAGAAGCTCTACATATAAAAATTAGTAAGCTCTGCTGTTTCTGCAGGATTCAATAATGTTGATACCACTCCACAAAAAATAAATGGTGAGGACGGGGAAAAGCATATGGCTAACAATTCCAACAAGCCAGATTATGAAGCTCGAATACAAGTAGTCAATCATGAGAAACTGTTGTTTTTAGTCTTTTCGTTAATTCAGAAACTCGTGGATGACGAGCGACCAGAGGTATACGTCATAGACCACCACTGTCTTTTCAACATGAATATTTTATTTAGTTTGTACGGTGGTGCCACTCTAATTTATTTTCTCATTGCTAATAAATTTCCAGGTTAGGAATTCAGCTGTCAGGACATTTTTTCAGATTCTGGGAAGTCATGGGAACAAACTTTCAAAAAGCATGTGGGAGGATTGTCTATGGAACTATATCTTCCCGATGTTGGATGGTGCCTCTCACAAGGTGAAGAAAGTGATTCAATACATTCATTTTAGGAGACTATTGTGACAGGTGGTGAATCTTCCTTTGTAGGCTGCAACATCATCAAAGGACGAATGGCAAGGAAAGGAAATCGGTACTCGAGGTGGGAAAGCAGTGCACATGCTTATACATCATAGGTGACAAATCCCTCTCGTTTGATAGTCTTTGATGCCTGAATAACTCAATTCTTTCAATATATTTACCCGTTTTCAAACCATTGAACCTTGCCATTCATTTTCTGATTTGCAGTCGCAATACAGCCCAGAAGCAGTGGGATGAAACGTTTGTGCTTGTACTTGGAGGAATAGCCCGCCTGTTCCGGTCCTACTTTCCTCTTCTTGAAAGCTTACCTAATTTCTGGTCAGGTGAGTGAATTATATTTTGCCTTGACTGCTGTGTTTATTGTTTACGAGATACTGAGATATTGTGTAACTTTCTACTTCTGTAGGATGGGAGTCTTTGCTTGCATTTGTTAAGAATAGCATTTTCAATGGGAGTAAAGAGGTATCACTTGCAGCAATAAATTGTCTGCAGACAGCTGTTGTGTCCCACTGTGTCAAGGTAATAGCACAGCTATTTGAACAGTCTATGAGCTACTATAGATACTATCACATCCATGCATCACTCTTTTAACTTAACTTTTCTACGAATTAGGGAAACTTGCAACTCCGATATCTTAATTCAGTTCTGGACGTCTATGAGCTTGTTTTCCAGAAGTCATCGAGTTACACAGGTGACACAGCAACCAAGGTGAAACAAGAGATTCTGCATGGTTTAGGTAATTCAATTTTTTCCAATGAAGTTTGCAATTTTTGTAGTCTTTTTTCTCAGTTAGATGAACAATTTTGGTAAATCGGAATGGATGAAACAAAGGTGTTCCTTTTTTGCGTGACAGAATTTGTAACAGATCTAACTCTTTCCTTTTCTTTCTCGTTCAATGGTTTGACAGGTGAATTGTATGTGCAGTCACTGAAGATGTTTGATGACAAAATGTACATGCAATTGTTGGGAATTATAGATTTAGCTATAAAACAGGCCATAGTAAATAGCGAAAATTTTGAAAATGAATTTGTAAGTCTGTTCTTCCATAATGTACTCTTTACTTTCTTCCTCTCAATTACCTCATTTTCAAAACTTGGCTGCTTGCGTTCCTCTAATGCTTATTTCATTGATGATTTCAAGGGACATGTCCCCCCTGTACTACGTCATGTTTTGGAGATCTTGCCTTCTCTGGGTCCACCTGAGCACCTTTCATCAATGTGGTTAATCCTGCTAAGAGAGTTTTTGCATTATCTCCCACGGGTGGATTCTGTTCTGCCAAATGAGGAAGGTGAGATTGAACAGGCCAACACAGGTCACCATGCAAGAAAGTACGTGATGCAAGTTTACTCTTAACTAGTCTTATATCTGATATTTTCTTACATTGACTCCAGGCAGTGAAGTATCGGACCATAAAGCTGATGCTTTATCTGACAATACAATTCCAACCACAAGAATTGCGAGTAATATGTTTGCAGAAAAGCTAATCCCTGCCTTGGTCGAGCTCCTCCTTCAGGCTCCTGCAGTTGAAAAGTATATCCTGTTTCCGGAAGTCATCCAGAATCTGAGAAGGTAAATTTTAACTCTCATTATATGCTGTTCATAGAATCCGAAAGGCATTGTGCAGGTGTATTGCCTTTGCCTTTTCTCAACTCAGTTGTTTCATAACATAAGTCTCGAAAGGGAAGCACTGGTTATTTGGTTTAATATTTTAGCATGTACGGTCAACCCAAACCCCTTCCCTCTCTCAAGTTACACGTCCCTGTCTAGAACTGCAAAAAGAAAACCTTCCTGATTCTTTTGTAGTGGCCAAGTTACCATGGCTATTTACTTTATCCAGTTGTGTTTGCGAGAAGTGTGTACAAGAATCAACTTATAGAATCAAATTGTTTTTCAGGTGCATGATGACAAGACGAGACAATCCAGATGGTTCACTCTGGAAGGTAGCAGCTGAGGGCTTCAACCGTTTACTTGTTGAAGATGTGAAAATATGTTCTGTGGGTGGTGATACAGACCTGAAAATTAGCAAAACGGCTCGAATACGCATTTGGAAAGAAATTGGAGATGTTTACGAGATATTCCTTGTTGGTTATTGTGGCCGTGCACTTTCTTCAAATTCTCTTCCTGCTGCAGCACTTAAGGCCAATGAGACTCTTGAGATGGCCTTGTTAAACGGTCTTGGGGATATCATTCTTAAGTCAACTGTTGATGCACCCCGAGAAGTGAGCAGCTTGGGTTTTCATGTAAAATGTTCTCTTATCCTAGTGTCTGAGTTTCTAATATGATTTGTATTTATTGTTACATCAACAGGTTCTGGAGCGGCTTGTTTCAACCCTAGACCGATGTGCATCACGTACTTGCTCTTTGCCTGTTGAAACTGTAGAGCTGATGCCTACCCATTGTAGCAGGTTTTCCTTGACATGCTTACAAAAATTGTTCTCCTTGAGCAGGTAATATTGCGTTGATCGTGTCCATGACCATAGCCCATTTCTTTGCTTTCTTGCTTGCTTCAGTCACTAGCACCACATACTTCATAACGTTATAGCTCTTGCTCCTTTAGGAGTCCCTCCTGGACTTTAGTTGCATATTTTGCATTAAACACATAACAATATGCATATTTATACGTTACTCGGCATCCTTTGTGAGAACGTATCATAGAGATTGTCCTTAGGAGCATTGCGATGTCTGCTTCAGAAGATTAGGAATGTCCATGAATTAATCATTTCTACTCCAACGTTTTACATACTTACATCAACTATTTTTTATTATAGTTTCTGCTCTGAAGCCGAGAACTGGCACTCAACAAGAGCAGAAGTGAGCAAGATCTCAATCATTACGCTACTGGACAGATGTGAATTCATATTGAGTAGATTTTTAATCGACGAAAAAAATCTTGGTGAGGGCTCTCAGTTTTCTAATAAAACGTAACATATTCTTTGCTTGCCATTCTTTTCAAACTGGTGCTATCTTTTGGCAGGCAACCGTCTAATCCCAGTAACAAGACTTGAAGAGATTATCTTTACCCTCCAAGAACTTGACCGCCTGACCATTCATCCCGAGGTTGCATCAGTTCTTCCATTGCAACCCTATCTGAAAACTATCCTACGAGAAGATAACCGTGACACCCGTGCACACCTACTTGTCCTGTTTCCCTCTCTGTGCGAGATTGTGTTATCAAGGTAATATTTTTTCTTCAGTTATAGTTTTCTCGTTCAAAACACACCCCTGTAGGAGTTCTTGATATCTAAAAAGGGTGGCATAATCTCTGTGTGGTCCGACACAAATTTTGATTTGGGGCGTTCTGTTTTCACCAGGGAAACGTCGGTGAGAGAGCTGGTGCAAGTATTACTACGAGCAATTGCGACTGAGCTGGGTCTGGAAAAGGTTAGTCTATCCAGTTGATGGCAAGTGGCAACACATGGCAATGTTTCTCAGAAAAATTGAGCTCTAAACTATCTTTTCTTACAATAGATACTTGAGAAATTTTGGTTCTCTACCACTTAGGTTGTATACTTTGTTTTAGCATGTACCGATTTACGCTGTGCGCTATTTTATCTCTATTGGTTCATGAGACTGATCTTCATTTCCGCTGAGTATACGATTCACAATTCTCCGAGATTTTATGTTGGACCGCTCCAACAAAGTATTCAATACTTCAATCGTTAAAACTCTGTCTGGACCCGTCCCACCTGCTTTCATGTAGCTGGTATAAACTAACTACATTTTCGTAATCCAGCTTTCTGACCATGATTAGTTAACTTGTGTATTTCATTCTGATCTGGTTGGATAAATTTGGGTTTTAACGTAGCTTACGTCTCTGTTTTAGATAGGAATAATCAAAAGCTTATATATACATGTAGTTAGTTTACACTTTACATACTTGGCTTCTCGATACCATCGTTACATAGGTCTCAAGAGAAAAATGGTATCACTTGGCCTGATTAATCCGAGCGGCGGCAGCAACTGAGGCGGCCACGCCGGTTGGGTAAGTAGTGAGATGAGGGTCGTTCCTCATCTCTGCGCCTGTGACTCCCTCCGCGTCTTTTCTCGTCGCTGGTTTGTCTGATGGTAGTTTGCTACTCGCTCCCTTTCAGAAACAAAAGGACAAACATTTTAACTATCACCAGGAGCTCATAACCCAAAGAAATATACACATGTATAGCATATTATAAGAAAGACCAGAATAACTGGTTTGCTACACAAAGTTTCAAGAAAACTGGATCCTAGCAAATACTCACAGTGAGAACGTCGGCGAGCGTAGTCTTGCCGTCGTCAGAGGTGGCTCGTGCGTTAAGAGTGGCAGCTGATTGAGCCGAAGCGGCTACACCACCGGGCATGATATTGGTCCGTCCGGTGGCTCTAACCTCGGCCGCTTGTATGGCAGCTGCGTCACTCCACTCCACCGGCTTATTCCCTGCCGTGAGAACAGCCGCCTCTAGAGCCTCTCCGATAGTTATGGTTCCTTCCGATGCCTTTTTCTTGTTTAGTTCTTCCTCCGCCTACAAAAATTGAAGGTACTATGTTTTGATACTCTTACATATGTTGTTGAATAACATCGTATGATTCCTCTTATTATATACGGACCTGTCCACCGGAAGCCTCGGCGACAACACCTTTTTCTTTGTCCTCCTTGGCCGGAATCTTTTCGGCCTCTTCTTTTACGTCATTACTTATAGGTTTCTGCAGCTGTTGGCTCATTTTTTTCGTCTCTCTTATCTTACGTAAGATCGTCACAGATATTTGTAATGTTCGGAATTTATATAGTTTTGCATGAGCCATTCAATTCTTTGACTATCTTACGTAATAAGAAGAAGGGTTCTCCTCATCTTTCTCTCTATTCTCTTCTGATTTTCCCCTCCTAATTTAGCCACTAGAAAACTGAAATATGTATATGTCTAGCTTTACAAAAGCATTTGGTTCGGTTTCGACTGTTTTTCCAATCAAACCGATCCATTTCGTTTCGGATAAAACAAAAGACAAATCGGCCACTTTAACCAGTGAAACTATCCGGTTTAGCTTAGTCGATCAATCGGTTAAGGTCTGAATTAGGGCTCCTTCGAAATCTTCACTGGAAACACAATCACTTGGTTCTTCTCCTCCCATCTACAACATTCAGAAAATCGTGGGAAAAAACAACAACAAGAGAAACCTTCCTTTCCTCGCCGCAACGTCCGAGCCCACCAGCTTAGCTCACCGTCTCTCCGGCGTTTCGAGAACACCCGTCGCTGTTTCAGCCTCACAGGTTTTTTGTTCTTTCTCTCTCTCTCTCTCTGGTTCACATCTCACTGATTCTCAACGGATCAAATTTTCTCAAAATTAGTTTTTTTCAATTGAATCAAAGCTTACTTTGATGGAGTAAATGTGGAGTTTGTTAGCTCAGTGATACCAGACATTCAAATCGTAATTATTAAGTGTTTTTGTATGATCAATAGAGAGAAGAAGAAAGAAAGGAGAATGAGTTCGAGACCCAGCGGACCCGTGGTGTTGACGGCGGAGGAGGAGGCCATACTAAACGAAGGAATTGGTTTGATACTTTCACGGTGGACTGCCATGCGAGCAGCCGTCGATAACGGTTGGGGCGGCCGAGATTCTCAAGAGAAAGCCGTGCGCACCGTTTCCAATGTTCTCGATTATTTCACCCTTTCAAAAGGTTAAACCTTTGATTTGATTGCTCTTGTTGAAATGCACTTTAATAGTCACAGCCTCCGATTATTGTTTCGAATTGGTCATTTGGTTGGTCATTGATTCTGAATCGTTCGCTTTTTGTAGATCCAACGGACTTTGACGGATTAGCTGACATTCTAGAGAGTGGTCTTAATGAGCTTAACACTGTGGCTGAAGATGGAAGCCTCGAGGAGGTATATACATTTTTGCTGAGATTGTTAAATGCTAATTAATTTGTTGATTCGTTTTTGGGTACTGATAGAAAGTGTTTTCATTGGTGATTCAACTGAAGGTGACAGAGACGCTTCTAGATTTGTATTACGAATGCCTCGAAGGCAACTTCCAGAGGGTTGAGAAACTCAGGTTGACTAATCCTCAGACCACTGCAAATGTTGTCAAGGTTTGTATTCTCCACACATCTTTCTAGTTTCCTTTTGCTTCTCTTCAATGAAACCAATGCTGTCTTGTCGCTTTCATATTTTTGAATTAGTTGTGGTGATTGCATTTATGAATCTGAGGTTGAGTCACCATTACTGAAGCTTATGTTGAATTAGCTCCTGGCTGCAGTGAAAATACACATATTGGTCATTTGGGGTTTGGATTAGATTCAATACATATCCAGTAGCCTTTTGGTTGATTTGCATATCAAGTTTTCTACATTGATTTGGTTCCTTGTATTGAGAGTTTGAATTGAGACCCTTTTGTGGTATTTCAGGTTTCAAGTGGTAACGATGAGGAAGATGAGGATAGCGATGATGAAGGTGAGGATACAGAGATGAACAATGATCAAAGCACAGACATGATGGTGGATGCATCTGAGAACTCCTCTAACCGGAAACCAGAAGCAATCCCGGTTGATGAACCAAAAGCCGATGATGGTTGGACGGTTGTTCCTTCTAGAAAAAACAAGGGCAAGAAGAATTGAACGGTTTAGGTTTCCCAATGTGTTTGGTGTAGTTTCAACAATTTTGTGTTTGTTTAATTCTATAACAATATGAATGGCATTATAGGATTACAGGAAGATTCACTTTATAATCTTATATCAATCATGCATGCTTTACAATTTATTCATCATCGAATCTGTAACATTTATAGACTTTACAATGACCTGCAATAATGAAACTGTAATCTTGTACCAACATTTCTTAACGAATCAAACATTGCCACTCATTCAATCGGCAAGTTCTCTGCTTCATGTCTAACAGAATCGAACAGTTTAGTCGATAAGTAACGTTCTCCTCCACTGGGAAAAACCACCTGCAAAACCAGTCCATAACCGGGATTTATAATAAAGCCGATTTGATTCCGGTTTTAAGTCAAAGCTTAGCTTATGTGTCAGACAGAGACAAAGCTTACCGCAATGAGTTTCCCTGCGTTCTCTGGCCGCTTTGCAACCTTAATCGCAGCAGCTGCAGCAGCTCCAGACGATATTCCAACCTGCCAGATTATTGCATTCATCACAAACTCCGGTTTTCAAGTTAATACCGAGAAAAGAACGTTAACCAAACCGTACCAGCAATCCTTCTTTGAGAGCAAGAAGCTTGGCTGTTTCAATAGCTTCCTCACCTGGCACCTATAATAAAAAAAAAAAAAAAAAAAAAAAAAAAAAAATTACACTTGTCAGAATATTTGTTTCAACGATCGAGAGAAGTAGATAGATAATCTCAGCTACTTACTTGAATGATCTCATCAACAATGCTCAAGTCCAGATTGGTTGGGATGATACCAGAACCAATTCCCTGGATCAAATGTCGTCCTACAAAATATGAAAAAAAAAATCCATTTCTGATTAGAAATGCAACAAACAACACGGACGAGAGGAATCACGTTTGTTTACGTTCCTCACCTGGTTCTCCTCCGCTGAGTACCGGACTTTCTGCAGGCTCCACCGCAACAACCTGTTGATCAAGATTGTCACAGAGATGATATATTTTTAGGGTTGGTTATCAAGATCAAGAACTAGTGAAGTTCTTGAATCCCACCTTAATGTCTTTATTCATCTCCTTGAGAAACCTCCCTACTCCAGTAACTGTTCCACCAGTGCCAACACCAGCCACCAATATATCTACTTTCCCTGCTGAGTCTCTCCATATCTCTGGTCCCGTGGTTCTGTAATGAATCTGCAAGCAAACAAAACTGTTAAACAGAGAGATTCAAAGAACTGAGAATTGTGGTGGCTTATTAAATATAAACCTCAGGGTTTGCAGGATTCTCAAACTGTTGAGGAACGAAACCACCAGGAGTTTTGCTTAACATCACTTCAATTTTCTCCAACATTCCATTAATGCCTATGCTCATATCTGTGAGATGAAGCTCTGCACCTAATGCTTTTAGAATAATTCTCCTCTCTAAGCTCATCGATGAGGGCATGAAAAGGACCACTTTATAGCCTCTTGCAGCTCCCACGCAGGCTAAACCGATCCCAGTGTTACCAGCCGTTGGCTCAATCAATGTACTCTAGTAAAAAAAACTAAAAACATGTTCAGAAATATAAGGAGATTAAATGGTTTCTTAAGTTGTTATATTATTAACCTCTCCGGGAGTAATCAATCCTTTGTCTTCTGCATCTTTGATCATACTGTAAGCGATTCTGTCTTTGACGCTAGAGCAAGGCTCCATCATCTCAAGCTTGGCGGCTATACGGGCTACGCAACCGTCACCAACTTTGTTCAGATACACCATTGGTGTGTTACCTATCAACTGTGTACAATAGAGAAGAAAAGAAAACAGAAAAACAGAGCAAAAACAGAGCAAAGGCTTAAAAACATGTTCTTTTATTGCAAGAAAGCAAATTGTTTATAGAAAACAATTAGAGATTGTTTAATCTTACCTCAGTGACATCGTTCTTGATCGAGCAACGATCTTCCATGATGGTCTGTCTTTCGAACTCCTGCAGGTTTAATCTCAGACTCAAAGAAGCAGCCAACAATCCGCAAAATACAGTCTGAGTATTGTTAAAGCTAAAACTAGGCTACTGAGTATTTTCTTGGAACAAGAATTTCTGATTTGAAAACCCTAAAGTAAATCAAAGAACGATATGAACAAAGAGACAAACAAAAACAAAAATGAATAAATAAATTCATACCTTTAAAGTTTGAACGAAAGGATCAGTTCAGTGAAGAAGAGAAAAATGAAACCGATCAGACTAAATCCACAACAGGCTGTATATATACACAGACATATATAAACTGTAGACTGTGTATGCAGACTTAGTTGTTCAATAGAAAATAGATGTGTCTATGATTAAACAAAACATTTACGCAACTTTAGCATGTGGACCCGTGGTGCTCACTGCACGATGTGAAGTATGAAGACAAGTTTGCTTTCTGTCATCTATCTATCCACTCATCTTTGCATAATGCAAGTGGAAATAACATTTGACAAGGTTTAGTGTAATGTTGCGTAACTGTGAAAATCACATCTACAAAAAGAAAAACTGTTTATATGATTTGTTAAATTGTCAAGATAGGTACATCTAAACCTATTATATGAAAGGTTTAAAAATATCATTATGGTCAATTCTGAAATGAAATTCCTAATCCTATGTTATCCGGATAAGATAGCAAAGTAGGTAGTAGCAAATTCGAAATTTTCTTAACCCCAAGATGCGTACATGCTTTTTCATTTTTTTTGGAATTATATGTTTTTTGCAAATTGTCAGGATTATCTAAGATTAGACAAGACACAAGATTTATTTATGTAACCATGTTTAAAGTTTTATAATGAGAAGTTGTTCAAAAAAAAAAGACAAGACACAAGATGAAGCTACTAATCAAACTGTAATCTTGTAACAATATCTCTAAGACTCATTCAATAGGCAAATTCTCTGCTTCATATCTGGCAGACTCGAATAACTCAGTCGATAAATAGCGTTCTCCTCCACTAGGAAAAATCACCTGCAAACCAAACGATAACCGGGATGATTTAACAAACCCGGTTTAGTATGGGTTTAAGTCAAACCAGAATTATGACAAAAAAGCTTTACCACAATGAGTTTCCCTGCGTTCTCTGGCCTCTTGGCAACCTTAATTGCAGCCCCTGCTGCGGCTCCAGAGGATATTCCAACCTGACAGATTATTTGAATTCCATCATAAACTCCGGTTTTCTAATTTCTGGTTCTTGTACCGAACGTTAAAACCAATTGTGTACCAGCAATCCTTCTTTGAGAGCAAGAAGCTTGGCTGTTTCAATAGCTTCCTCACTTGTCACCTAAAATCAAAAGATTGCACTTCTCAGAATATCATTCAAGACCGACAAGTACATAATCTTGTTGGCTACTTACTTTAACGATTTCATCAACTATGCTTAAGTCCAAATTGTCTGGGATGACACCACCGCCAATTCCCTGGATCATATGTGGACCTACAAACATGTAATATATTATGTTTTAGCGATATATAATCAAGAAGAGTTTTATGTTTATGTTCCTCACCTGGTTCTCCTCCGCTAAGTACCGGACTTTCTTCAGGTTCCACCGCATAAACCTGTTGGTTATCAAGAACTACTGAAGTTTAGGGTTGATTATCAAGAACTTAGTGAATGTTTTTGAACCTTAATGTCTTTATTCATCTCCTTAAGAAACCTCCCTACTCCAGTAACCGTTCCACCAGTGCCAACACCAGCAACATATATACCTACTTCCCCAGCTGAATCTCTCCATATCTCTGGACCTGTGGTTCTGTAATGAATCTGCAAGCAAACCAAATCATAAGAGTGAGAGAGAAAGAGAGAGTTGTGGTGGTGGATGCATGAGCATGATATTAACTATTAAATATAAACCTCAGGGTTTGCAGGATTCTCAAACTGTTGTGGAACGAAACCACCAGGAGTTTTGCTTAATATCTCTTCAGTTTTCGCCAGCAACCCTTTAATAAGGCCTATGCTCACATCTGTGAGATGAAGCTCTGCACCTAATGCCTTAAGAATGATTCTCCTCTCTATGCTCATCGTTGAAGGCATCGTAAGTATCACTTTGTAGCCTCTTGCAGCTCCAATGCTGGCTAAACCGATCCCGGTGTTGCCACCCGTTGGCTCTATCAGCGTACTCTTCAGTCAAAAACAATATATAGCTTAATCTTGATGAAATATGGAGATTGAGGTTATATGGTTTTTTTTTTTTTCTTTAATTGTAGAGTTTGTTATCTTATTAACCTCTCCGGGAGTAATCAATCCTTTGTCTTCTGCATCTTTGATCATACTATAAGCGACTCTGTCTTTGACGCTAGAGCATGGCCCCATCATCTCAAGCTTCGCGGCTATACGAGCTACACAACCGTCGACAACTTTGTTCAGATACACCATTGGTGTGTTACCTATCAACTGTGTACAATATTCAAAAAACAAAACAGAGCAAATGCTTTTTAGACATGTTCTTTGTTGCAAGAAAGCAAAATGATTATCGGAAAAATTTAGAGAGTTTTTATCTTACTTCACTGATATCGTTTTTGATTGAGCAACGATCATCTGCCATGTTGGTCTCTCTTTGAAACTCCTGCCTGAGATTCAAAGAAGAAGACAAAAAATCTGCAAAATACTCCGAGTTTTGAAACGTGGGATTAAGGTTAAAGCTGAAACTAGACTATTGAGTATTTTCTCAGAACAAGAATTCCTGATTTAGAAACCCTAAAGTAGATCAAAGACAAAAAAAAAAGAATCAAACAGAGAGACAAGAAGCTGAGAAATCCTTAGTTAAGTCAAAAGAGACGAGTTTAAACACTAAAAACAAGATAATTTCATACCAAAATAAGGAAATGGTAGTAAGAAAGCAGCAAGAACAGAGCAGAACTACATGATGTTTTAACTTCTGATGGATAAACCAGAAGGAACCAAAAAAAAAAGTCATACCTTCAAAGTTTGAACGAAAGGATCAATGACGAAGAGAAAAACGAACCGATGATGAGTCTAGAAATAGAAATACACGTTAGAATAATGATGTCTTTGAGCAAAAATAAATAAATAATAATGTCATGTGTCTATGGTTTTTAAAAAAAAATGATTTATGCAACTTTGACATGTGGACCTGTGGAGCACACTGCACGATGTGAAGTCACAGTATCAAGACGAGTTTTGTTTTTTTGTCATCTACTCATCTTGCATAATGCAAGTGTAAATAAAAATCTACACAAGTTTAGTGTAACGTTGCGTAGGGTGAAAGATAACAACATTTAACACTATATATGATTTGTTTCATGTCAAGATAACATCTAAACCTATTATTTGGAAGCTTTAAAAGGCAGTATGGTCTTGTAAAAGAAAAACATGATTCATTCATTCATTCATCATCAAAAATATGTTGCTTTTACAGATTTTACAAAGACCTGCAATAATGAAACTGTAATCTAGTACCAATACATCTATTACGGAACCAAACCGATACACAAATTGCGACTCATTCAATCGGCAAATTCTCTGCTTCATATCTGGCAGACTCGAACAGTTCAGTCGATAAATAACGTTCTCCTCCACTAGGAAAAATCACCTAGGCAACACAAAGTCGATAACCGGGATGATTAATAAAACTCGGTTTAAATTTTAATTGCGGTTGAACCGAGGAAAGGCTCTCTGCTTACCGCAATGAGTTTCCCTGCGTTTTCTGGCCGCTTTGCAACCTTCAACGCAGCTGCTGCTGCGGCTCCAGCGGATATTCCCACCTAACAAATGAATAACCATTACGTTCTGCATAATATGCGGTGTTCTTTTTTTATACCAAGAAAAAGTAACGTTAAACCAAATCGTACCAACAATCCTTCTTTGAGAGCAAGAAGCTTTGCTGTTTCAATGGCTTCCTTACCTGTCACCTGAACCAAAAATGCTGCAGCGCTCAGAATATCATTTTGACGATCGAAGAAGTAGATAATCTTGGCTACTTACTTGTATAATTTCATCAACAATGCTAAAGTCCAAATTGGTTGGAATGACACCAGAACCAATTCCCTGGATCAAATGAGGACCTAGAAACAAGTACATAATGTTTTGAGTGAAAGATAATCAAGAATCAAGAACTCAAACAAGAAGACTTTTATGTTTATGTTCCTCACCTGGTTTTCCTCCGCTAAGTACCGCACTCTCTGTAGGTTCCACCACACAAACCTATTGAGTATTCATCAAAAAGATTGCAACGGCATTATCTTCAAGAATACATCAAACATTTTTACAACGGTTGTTTTCGTTTGCTTTAGTGAATGTTTTTGAACCTTAATGTCTTTATTCATCTTCTTAAGGAACTTTCCTGTTCCGGTAACCGTTCCACCAGTGCCAACACCGGCGACCAATATATCTACTTTCCCTGCTGAGTCTCTCCATATCTCCGGACCTGTGGTTCTGTAATGAATCTGCAACAAAAACATATTTGGATTCAAGCTTCAACCATGAATAAAACAGAGTGAGAAACAGAGCAATTCAATATAAACCTCAGGATTCTCAGGATTTAGAAACTGGTGTGGTATGTAACCACCAGGAGTTTTGCTTAATATATCTTGAGCTTTCTCCAACATTCCATCAACACCTACGTGCATGCCTGTGAGATGAAGCTCTGCACCTAATGCTCTCAGAATGATTCTCCTCTCTAAGCTCATCGTTGAGGGCATTATAAGGATCACTTTATACCCTTTTGAAGCCCCTATGCTTGCTAAACCAATCCCGGTGTTACCTCCCGTTGCCTCTATCAACGTACTCTATTTATAAACAAATAAAAACAATTCAGTTCAATCTTAATGAAAGATAGAGAAAATTATTATATGGTTTCGTAAGCTGTTTCTGTTAACCTTTCCGGGAGTAATCAATCCTTTGTCTTCTGCATCTTTGATCATACTATAAGCTATTCTGTCTTTGATGCTAGAGAAAGGCTCCATCATCTCAAGCTTGGCGGCTATACGGGCTACACAACCGTCAACAACTTTGTTCAGATACACCATTGGTGTGTTACCTATCAACTGTGTACAATATTCAAAAAACAAAAACAGAGCAAATGCTTTTTTAGACATGTTCTTTATTGTAAGAAAGCAAACTGATACACAAGAAACAAGAGATTCTTTACCTCAGTGATATCGTTCTTGAGCAAGCACCGTTCTTCCATGTTGGTCTGTCTTTAAAACTCCTGCAGATTTAACACTTTGTAATCTGAGATTCAAAGATGCCAGACACAAAGTCCCAAAATAAAGGCCATAATTTTCTTCAAAGCTATGCTTTTAGTTTTTACAAACAAGGTGAAGAAAATATAAACTGATACCATATAATAATAAATGGGAATAAAAGAATCAGTCTTTTCTAACAAATCCAAACTAGCACGAATATAGCAGACGACATTATTGTGTTTTTATGGGTAAAGGGATAGATAAACCAGAAAGAAGCAAAAGAAAAAAACGTCGTACCTTTAAAGTTGAAACGAAATATCAATGAAGAAGAGACAAAAGAACGCGAAGTCTAAAATCCACATGCACCAGCACCAGACTATATATATACTGTATACACACAGAAATATATTAGTATAAAACTTATTGTATATACGTAGATTAGAATTGAGTGGTTCAAACTACGAGTTTCATTTTCTATATGGTTCATTTTTGGGGGGCAAAAACGAAAAAGAAAATCTCTTTCAAACTACGAGTTCTTGTTGTAAGATAATCATTGAACTAAACTAGTTGAACTCACAAACAAACAAGAAAACATTACCAATCGTACTAATACATTTTCAGTAGTTATGGTAAACAAAATCATCACTCATATCACAAGTGTCCATATCAAATTGCTTTAAAGAAAATGTCAAAATATAAAATCAGAAGATTAATCACTTTGTAAATAAAAAAGATGTAACACGATTCATTGAGAAAATTTGTCTTCCAAAATGGAGTTTGAAGAAAGAAATGGATGTGGGTTGGAAATGCAAACAACTCTCACATGTGGTGATTGGTGAACACTAGCCACTAGGCGATGTGAATTGTGAAGTATGAAGTATGAAGACAAGTTTGTGCCTTTGCGTACATTGAAAATAACATATATGGCTAGGCTAGGCTTGGATGGGGACAACACTTGAATTCTAAGGCCATATTTAAGTTGACATCTAAGGCTGTGCTTGAATGGAGACAACATCGAAGGTCGTCATGCTTGAATGGAGACAACGTACAGGATATGCTTTGAATCGAGACAAAGGTGTGAGGCAACCGCCTTTATATTAAGATCCATATCTTTTGTTTTTCAACTTGTTTTCGCGTTGCAAGAGAAAAAGAAAATGGCGTTTTCAAACTTTTTTTCAACGATGTGAAGATAACATCTAGCAATCTTAAAAAGCTTAACCCCAAGATGGGCATATGCTTTCTCATTCTTTATGAGATATGTTGGTCATTGCAAACGTAATCGTTTTTCTGGTCCCTCGAAACCGTGCTATTTCGGTTGGCACAAACACATTGACAGTATGGTTTTCTGATGTAAACCACTAAAAAGGAGAAAATATCTCAAATATCTATACAGAATTACTTATAAATCTTAGTTTGATCATCAAACATACACAATTTAGGGTTTTAATAACAACTGCAACATATAATGAGAGAAGACATCGGTCAAAATCCCCAAAGAAGACGTTTAATGTTTAGATCATATCGCATTCGAATCACACATAAACATTATTTGCATCTTTATTTTCATATAAATATAAATAACTAACAGAGTTTTTGTTTTTATTGAACTACAATAACTCTACCAAAAACTATAATCTAATAGACTAATACAAAGGTTATTCACAACCCCCCTACCATTCACCCCTAATGAACAAAACTAAAAAAGATCCAATCAAGAAACAAAAAACTCTAAGAACCCTAAAAAAGATTTCATCACCATCAGATACTTAGTACTCAGATTATTAGCTTATAACTTGCTATACTATACCTCACCACCATACCACTAGACATCTTCATCTTCATTTGCTCATAACTTAGATCTTACATTCTCTTCCATACGCATCATCCTCCATTAGGCATTGTCTTTAACTCATTAACCGTGGCTCTAATCTGCTCTTGAACCAATTCTAATCTCCTCGAGTAAACTTCCAACTCCAGAATCTGTTGCCTCCTCCACCGTTCATCTCCTAATCCCTTACCTCCACCACCACCAAACCCAACATTCAGCGATTGCATCAGCATTGGGCTCAACACACCTAACGCATGACCACCACCTCCCGGGAATCCTCCAACAGCAGCCATCATCATCCCCGTCGTACCATTCATCATCTCTTTGATCATCGGTGACACACAATTCCTCACCGTCTCTTCTATCAACCCTCCTAGATTCCGCCCCTCACCGAAATCACCAACGGCAGCTACACTCTCGTTAAGGTTAACATTTGGAATTGCCCCGTCACCGAGAACGGACTTATCCTCATCGATCTTTCCTACTCTCGATCGTGATCGTTTTCTCGAACCACTACTGCTACTCATCGTCACTTTCTTCTCCATCCCGTTCTCAGAATCAATCTCCACATTCGGATTAACAATGGAGACGTTGAAAGCTGAGCTACCATTGGTGTTGTTATTTACATGGTTGGTTTCCTCGAAATCCATCACATTGTTATCTTCAAACCCTATGATTTTGCCGGTTTGATTCCAGATTTTCCTAGAGATATCGAAAGTCGCTTGATCGTGGGGGCTTTTGAAGAACACCTCTTTGCCGGAGCTGATCTTGCTCATCACATTCCGGTACTTCTTCTTCAACCGCCGGAGCTTCTCCACGAGCTGGTTCTTGTTGAATTCCAGCTGGAGCTTCGATTTTATCTGCTCGTAAAACGGCGCCGTGTCGGGCGGATGCGAGCTGGTGCCGCGGTGGCTCGCGATGTAATCGAGGAAGCCGCGGAGGAGCTCGATCTCGTCCTCGTCGGTCCACAGCCTCTGGAAGAGACGCCTGGAGTCGTCGATCGGCGGTCTCTGATGGACGATCTCGGTCATGCGGTGCCATTTCGGATCGGAATCGGCGTGGATCGCGGCGACGGGTACGGCGGATCCGGAAGGAAGAGCGACGGTTACGGTGCCTGTGGAGGAAGACTTCGCCGTCGCGGAGAGTAGCGGAGCCGTGGAAACGGCGGAGACCATAGACGGAGAATTCAGATCTTCGTATTCGGGATCGTCGTCGTCTGCCTCGTTTGGCTCTGGCATGACAACATCTTCGTTCTCACGCAAATCCTCGTCGGAGTCTGTCTCTCCTCCTCCACCTCCCACTTCTACTCCGCCACCGGCGCTGCCGTCTTCCTCCAGCTCCGGCGATTCGACGGAGAAAACAGCGTCACGCTCATCCGATGTCATCACCACGAAAAACTCAAAACGCAGCTAGAGAAACCAAAATTGGAATTAGAATCGTATTAGCTCCGATCGAATCAGGATAAAGAGAAGAACCAGATCCAGATGGAGATTGGGGGAAAGAGGAATTGGGTTCACGAGGATTGATACGCTTTGTGTTTCTCGGTGGTAGGGCATGAGAATCTTCGACCCAGCCAGGGCTAGTTTCGGTATTCACGAAACATAATAATGACTAGGCATTGCAGGCAAGTGGTCCAGACTCGTACCCGTGCTTGGTTGTTGTGGTTTGGTCTGAAAAGTCAACACTCAACCGCAACCGCAGCTCACAGAAAACCCGTTCCTCAAACGCGATTCTTTGTTTGGGCGTTGACTAAAAGAACGTCTCGAGGGACCGAAGGCGTGTGTGTATGCAAAATAAATACTTTACTTTTTTGTTCGAGACGAATGTGTAGACGTGTAAACTTGTTTTTACTCAGAAAGTTATAAAAAGATAATTCGACAGAGAATAAAAGTATTTACCAAGTTCAATTCCAAATGGAGATAAAAGATACAAAGCAAGTCAACAAGAACCGAAATTGAGTTTTTCATTTTTACCTTCTCTTTTTAGAAATGAACAATTTGAAACAGAGCTTTTATTTGGTTAAAGCAAGTGTATATCTTCTTCTAACTGTCATCATGAAGAAGAAGAAGAATGTGTGTGATGAAGGAGAAGAGCTTTAGTATAAACGGAACTTCTCCTTGGTGTTCTGGAAAACTTGTTCAGCAATAACGGCGCCGTTTCCGTCTGCTTTCTTAATCACCAGGTTAGATTTCTGGTAAACCCCAGTCCCTCTCAGAGCATCAGCTATGAAGTCATCAAACCCGATGGCTATCGCTGCTTCGGCTTTGGCTCCATAAACCAATCTCTGTTTATTAGCAGAGACATCGTTTAGACCCCATGACAATGAAGAGATAAGAAAGATGGGTTTGTGCAGGTATATTTTTACCTTGAGTCTCGATAGATGGATGGCTCCGAAGCACATGGGACATGGCTCACAAGATGCATAGATCTCGCATTCTGATAGCTCGATTTGGTTAAGTTTCTTGCATGCCTGCGCAATCACAATGTATTCAAAACCAGTTTTAGCAATGTTTAAAGAATTTGATCAATCTATCGAGTACTCTTTTTTACCTCTCTAATGGCTGTGACTTCAGCATGTGCAGTAGGGTCTGTGTATTTCAGAACCATATTGTGACAGCTAGCGACGACCTCATTCTTATGAACAATCACCGCACCAAATGGGCCACCATCACCGCACTCAACTCCCTTGTAAGCTTCTTCAACAGCTTGCGTTAGGAATTTGTGGTCGCTGTCATGCACAGCTGATCAAAGACAAAGTAGAAACATTAACCATGATAATTTCAACTAAACTAAGAATGTTCCTGTTAAACTAGTGGAAAGTGAAAAAAGGGCGTATCACAATTGATGCATTAACCATCACAAGAATCATTAATGGTCAAGCTTTTCAGAACATTTGGTGGAACCATAATTGGGGGAATACTACAGTCATCACTTTATAAAATGTCAAGGTCTATACCTTCTTGGTGACCGGCAAATGCTGTAGCCACGGAGATGGTTCCGTCTATTGCTTCCACTACACAGTTCAATGAGAGAGCAATCAGAACCTCCAACCACGAAACATCAAAGAGGAAAAAAAAAAAAAAAATCAAATCGATACAGCTCATGTTCTAATCAAAGCCATTAATCAACAACAGCTCATGGTTACTCACAGCACAAGTTAGAATACAAAAGAGACGTATACGATTACTTATGATACAAGTAAACATCGCTAACGGAGGAATCTTCCAGCAAAGATGACACAAAAGTAGAAGCCATTGATTCTAATCTCACTTAAAATCGAGCACAATACTAAATTCGTAAAGCAAGATCATCTATGCTTAATCAAAAACGTCTAGCACATGTAAAGTGTGATGATATGAAAACAGTGCGGCGCTCCGCTATGTCACATGTCGTCTGTGATTGACAACGAGTCATAGACGGTGGTAACGTGTGGTGGCTAAAATTCTTGTTAAAAAAAAAAATCATCTGCATGTGAAGAGAAATGTCTAAAATATGCAGAAATAGTCCAAATCGAAGAAAATTTCTAGATTCCCGATCTGATAAGTTAACCAATAATGAATCCAAAATCGGAGGAGAAAGTTGATCTGGGAAAAGGATTCCGATTAGATAATCGATTCCGTTGAATAATCCAAAACCAAAATAGCTGCCATTAATAATCAAAGTTCTTCTCGGATGCAAAACAACAAATCTCGCGGAGAAAATAACAAATTTGGGGAAACTAAGCACTCCGATCTCGATCCACAAGATCAACGGAGCATAATGCAAGGAGTAGAGATCAAAGTGAGAAGATCGTAAATGGTTACCTTTAGCTTCTTCCATGACTGAGAATTTGGCAGATGATTCGGAGAATACTAGTGAAATCGATGAAGGTAGAGAAGAAGGAGTTTGTGTGGTGGGTGAAGAATGAAGAAGAAGAGAACCAATTGGTGTGTTTTATAAGCAAAGCAGAGGAGTCCAAAATTTGGGATTTGGGAGATAAAGACGAACACAAGAGAGAGAGAGAGAGAGTCTGAGGTAAATTGGAAAGGAGAAAGTGAAACTGCAAGGAAGCAATTAAAGAAACTTTGCTTTATTAGCCAAAATAATTTTCAATGCGAAATAGGTTAAGATATGAGGATTCCTCTAAATACTTCTTTTTTTTACTCATTTTTCTCTTAATTAAATCTTAGATACGCATGATGATTACCCCCAAAGTAATCAAGAAGTTTGAGAAATCTTTATTTCAATCCAGGATGTTAGTATGTTACAAACCAAAAGAATCGAATATTCCGTTTAATACTAAACTCATGTAAATCCTATAGTTGTTTGATAAAATGAAAATAAAGAAAACTGAAAAAATGGTACAACTACAATAATAGAATCGGGATAAGTTAAATGACTCATATAATATTATCCATAAACACAAATGGTATGATAAGTTAAATGACTCATATATTGTAGTTTTATCCATCCATAGAAACACAAATGGGATGAGGAGCACGTTAGCATTTTGGTAGATACAACTCATCTTCCATAAAATATGCAAGAGATAATGTGCCGTATAGTTTTGTAGCCAATATGTCGATAAATGGGGTTGTTATGCTTTTACATTTTCGTTGGCCATAACTCGATTCTTTGTGCTAAAAACAATATGAAAAGACTTTTAGTTTCGCACTTTGATACTAATGTAGCAATGTTAAAGTAGTAGCTTTCACAGTTTCACACGCACAAATTCAAAAAAATTACAGCCTTCAACTATCAAATGCCAAATTAGTAGAGAGAAAAGGACAATTCTTGGAATAGACGAATACATGTATCCGTGAGTATCGTTACAAGCGATATGGTAAACAGTATACAACTATTGATGCGTTTCAATTATTGAACGAGATAGATGCACGTCACCTATATATCGGTTAGTTAACGAACAACGGAATAAAAAAATGAAAGGGACTTGAATGGCTCATCTTTGTTGACCTTCACATGGAGGCGCATCGATGGTCTTTCTTAAAATAATAATCATTTTAACCTTCTTTAGAAACTTTTATATGTTGAGAGACTTTATGGATGGTGCGAAGTGTTTTGAAGACCACCTACATATTACACTTCAATATAATCACCTTTCCTAGAAATGAATAAGACTTGCAAATAGAAGACCAAGATCGTTTTTGGTCGTTGAAGGATCAACAAAAGTAGTTACGCAGCTAAACCAAATTCACTCTTAGAGATCACAAACACACAACATGCTCGCGTGTACGTCTTCTTTTACTCTTTCCCAAATCTCCGCTCTTGCCACCAAAACAAGGAAGATAGGGTGTAACTTTATTTTATGTCAGATTAGGTTATTTAACACATGCCAAAATTTGCAAGGGAGACATATAGGCTGTTTACGTTATTTTATAGCACATTGGGTATTTAACACATGACAGAATCTCTGTTTTCTAACTAATGAAGAAAAAGCAATGATATTTTATTCCACCCTTTCGGCGAAACACTAAGATACAAGTAAAAGCCACAAGACAATACATTGCTTTAGCCGTTAATTGCAGTTCACCTTATCACTTTCGTGTGTGATATTAACTTAGCTCAGTCCCATCAATATGTAACGTATAGAATTGATTTGGTTTTAACATTTCTCTGTTACAATGGTTTGCTTGGTCTCAAATGCTAACATACATTGTGCTGGTGTGTTTAAAGTTACTAGTTTTTAAGGAACCAAAACAAAATCTGGCAATACTAATCACATATGTAGCGTATAGATTTGATTCGATATTACTCAGATGTTATCACAGAGGACACTGCTGGTGTGTTAAAGACTACGAGTTTTCAAGGAGCGACAACGAGAAGGAAGTTTTAAAATAAATGTATTGAAACAAAATCTTAACAAGACGTTCTCTACCGATTAAAAAACATAATCCAAAGCGAGATAAAACTGATTGTGACAAAATCGAGATGTGATTAGAAGAGGTCTAATAGCAGACACTGCGATAAAGAAGAAAGGACGCAGAATAAAACACATAATGCTGCCGCTGCTGCTTCTGTCTTCATCAACATCTCACTTCTTCTTGGGGTCACCAGCCTTGGTCTACACACACACACACAAAACTGTTAGTAACAAAACAGCAACGAAACAAAGAATTGCAAACTTAGATTGTTGGCAATCTCACCTTCTTAACACCACGGATTTTCTTGGCCCTGTTCTTCCTCTCCTTAATCTGTTTCCTTGATTTCTCGACCTTGGTGTCAAGTCCGTTCTGTCAAATCACAACAAGAACCATTTCAGTATCCAATTTCAGGGAATCTTAACTAGTATGAAGATTCCAATATATACGACTCTGACACTGCTTCATAGTAAAAAAAAAAAAAAAACTAGGCAGGAAGTTTCACTAGAGAGGAGGAATGTAGTAAGAGCGGAAGAGAACTTACCCTGATAAGCCTGTACTTGGGCTCGAATTTCTTGGCACTCTCGACGGTGTCATAGATCAAACCGAATCCAGAAGATTTGCCACCTCCAAAGTGGGTTCTGAATTTGAATACAAAGATGGCATTCGGGTCTTTCACCTCGTACATCCTTGCTAACTTCTCCTTAAGCTCGGCCTTCAAAAGTAAATTACATTCAAAAACATAACAATTAGAAACTGCTCAAAGCACAAAGAAAAACAGAGAAATGGCTTGATTGAAAAAACTGAAATAGACACAGAGATTGAAGTAAAGAACATACCTTTGAAACATTGGCTCTTCCAGGGTGGAGAACATCAATGACCTACATTCATAAGCAATTACCATTAATTAGTACATAATCTGAAGGACAAAATGTACATTAATAAACACAGGATTGCTATGTGTAAGTTATCTATCTGTTAAAATCCAGTAAGCTCAATTCAAATTGTACGATCAAATGTGAGATTGAAATCAATCATACAATAAATCAGGACGAATCAACTTGTCAAGTACTAAAAATGAGACCTACTTCCTCAAATATAAACATCAAAGGTATTAAAATTCAAATCTCTAGGGGGAAAACAGAAAGAATTCTCAAATGAATCTGCTTATTTAGCTCCCTATAGTTTAGCATCCGGTTACGTATTTGCTACGATGTAGCTAAAAACTGCCAAATCAAAATGAAACATAGAGCGTGAAAGATGCAGTGAAAGAGTGGGACTCACAAACTGCTTCCTGGAGAGAAGTCTGTTGGTCATGAACTTCCTGGTCCTGATGGTGACTGCTTTTTCCGCCATGGCTGCGATTGCTCCGAGATCAGACTGAGCTCCGGTTGCGAAAATCGACGAGTTTCTCTCCGCGGCAGCCTTACAAGAATCAGACGGAGCAGCCAAAACCCTAAATGAAAATATATAGCTCTCACTTTCATGTTTTTTATTAGGGCTCCTTTTCTTTAGTTTGTTGGGCCGACTTTAAGTGGGTCCATATTGATAAGTTAAATTAGTTAATTTCGGGTTTGATAAAGCCCATTGGGGTTAAAGTTAAAACAATACTCCTGTGTTAATAAAACTATACAGTTATACGGTACCATTAATGACGACGTATCTGCTGTGATTAATAAAGGTCTACTAAACTATTATGAAGTGTTAAAAATATTATCATGTTTTAGCATTAAGTACAAACAATTTCAGAACTAGAGAGCTTTCTGCATGCCGGTTTATCTCTGAAGTTTTGCAAAAATATTCTATAAAAATGTTTTTTTCTCTCAGGCTTACATATGTAATTGTAAACGTAAAATCAGAAAGTAAAACAATCAATCATAGGATTAATGTTCGCATACCGTGAACATTTTTGTTGTTGCTAACATTATTGTAAAAACTTCTATGCATATTAACAAAAACAAAGTGTTCCTATACGTTCGAAGTCTCCATTCCACTAGATTTTTCAGCTGACTATTACTACAATGATCAAATGATAATCCTTGAATCTCTCTTTACTTCAATTTGTCATTTGCTTTGAAGCCACCTCGTTGAATCCGATGGCTCATCGTAGACTCGTAGTCTATGGTCATGGAACCAAGATAGTTATTAGTATACTGTGTCACACCTTACTTGCCATCGCAAGAAAACGCATCTTCTTGGTCAGAGTGGTTTTGCCCCAAACGTGATCTCCTCGAACCTTCCACGCTTCTCTTCGCACTCGTTTCCACAACACTGAATCAAGTTCAAATCCATGAGCGAACCCAACGAAGAAGGGTTCGAGTCGCAGCTGCAGAAAATGCTCTCCAACTCGACGCCTGATGATAATCTCCAACTGGGAACAAGAGAAGCAATCTCTGCATCGATCATGTTAGCTATCTTTGTGACGTCCCGGTCGTCCATCTCCAGCTCTTCCACCATTTCTCTTGCAACGCTGATTGCTGTATCAGTCTCTGTGTCAAACGGGAAGTATATGTTTCTCACAAGCCCTACAAAAAATTGAAAATGAAAGTAAAGTTTCAAACTTTTATGCTCTGAAACCGTAAAGATCCAACCTTTTGTAGTCCAAAACCACAAAGATTGCATCTTTTAGACTCAGGTCCGACTTTTCACTCTTCTTAAACCACATTATGAAGGAGTAATGTTATAAGAGTATCACACAAACCTTCCTTGTCAGCGATTCTGAGTCGTAGGAACAGTCCATCACCATTATCTCTTCTCTTTCCTTTGACGCTTATATGGACATTATCTAAGCTCTCATCATCTTCTTCTACTTCTTCATGATCATCGTTATGAAACTCAAAGACGTCTACTCCGTGTGACTCCTCCACTGTCTCATGGCCATTGTAATCCCACTGGTTTCGACTATCGTGGCTACAGTAACCGTTTGAATAGTGAGGATGATCAAAAGAGTTTCCTTTGGTTTGGTCATTGTAGTAATAGTCAGCTGTATGATATGAATGACTAAGAAGAGTAGGCCCAGCTTCATCTATCTGACTTCTTGTTGCGATCTCTACGGGTCTCAAAGTCGAGTCACCATCATCGGTACAAAGAAAAGGGTCGTCTAATAGTTGACGAGCAGAGAGCCTGAGGGACGCAGTGGCTAAGCATTTCTCTATAAAGCCTCTAACTTCAGGATCCTTCACCTTCTCTAATGAGTCTGGTTTCTTGCCCGATATAACTCTCTTGTAAATCTGAGCAGGGTGAGAACATTCGGTGTATGGATAATCAAACGTTACCATTTCCAAAACGCACATACCAAACGAGTATATGTCGACTAATTCGTTGTATTCTTCTTTATAGACTTCAGGAGCCATGAACTCTGGTGTCCCTAACCGAGTCAAAAATATAATCTTTCAGCATCAACAATATAATTTATGGACCAAAGCAAAAGCACTGAGCAACAGATTGCATACCAACACAATGAGCAGCGTGAGAGTTTTGCA